TACTTGTAAAATTGCTATTTTAATTTTTAATAGTGATATTTAAAAGAGTTCAGAGGTGAAAAGCTGTGCTTTACACAATGTCTATTGTTTCCTGATTTCTTCTTAACAAAACTCTTTTAAGAATCTGCTTCTCAGGAAAGTTGATCTTAAACCCTGTATTAAAGGTAAATCAGAGGTAATGTAAATGAATTATGATATGTCTATTGTATTTGCTAGTGACTGATTTAAGGATAAGTATATAACTTCCTGGTTAAAAAATGAATGAATAAATAATAATAACAAGTAAAATAAAGTTTATTGAGGGAACGAAGTCCATTGGAATAACTCTTGTGCTATCTCTGTCTTCAGAAGGAATCACTATGACACTTTGATCTTTTTTTCATCTGTGAATATTGCCAGGGCAAAAGTTCTCCAGACACTTTAATGGCCCACTTTTTTTTGGTACTCCCACTACAGATACCAAGGGTCGTGGATTGTATAGTTATAAACATGGTATAGTTTTTGGTTGTTACTTATGGCACATATCCTCTCATATAGTTTAAAGTATTTCCAGATTATTTATAATGCTTAATATAAAGAAAATAATTGTTATAATTTATTGTGCAGGAATAAAAATCACAAGAAAAAGTTTTTTACATATTCAATCCAGACTCATTTTTTTTTAAATTTGTTTTTGATTTGGCTGAATAGGCCCAGTGTGAAGCCCACAGACACAAAAGACCAATTGTACTTTCTAAATGAATCAAGATGTATTTGCTTTGAAAGCTTTATGTATAACATTTACAATTATCATAATAACTTTCTATTGCATAGGTAAAAGCTAGTTCTGTATTGACCAACATGACTGCCACTAGTCACATATGACTGTTCAAATGGAACTGAAATTTCTGTTCTCCAGTTACCCATCTCATATCAAATGCACATTAGTTAACCAGGTTAGTGTCAGTGGCTACCACGCTTGACAGTAGATATATAGATCATTTCCATAACTTGAATCAAGTTCTACTAGAAACTTCTGGTCAATATTATATATTCTAGATATTTTTAATATTTCTATATTAGATAAATTAAAGCTAGTCCCCAACACAAGTTATATCCAGACAAGCCTATTAATTTTAATAAATGGAAAATAAATTTTAGTATGGTAAGTGAATTACTTCAAGTTCTAAATTGGTAAGGTCAATATTAATGAACAAACATGATTAATCATATATGCATCATGATTCAGCTATGTTAACATAGCTATCTCCTTATAATTCATTAAAAATTGAAATAAAAGGAAAAAATAGTAATAGAAATGTCAGCATACCAATACTACGTTCTATAATTTGAGCTTCTAATACTGTCATGAGTATAGGCAACGATGTCTGTCATTTTTTTCATGTTCTATTTCCTAACATACATTACTCATATTTTATAATGCCTATATTATTGTATGTTCACTCTTTCAATTATATAATAATGGAAACAGTGTTTCACACTCCTAGCTAAGAGTATGATACAACGATAGGTCTTCACTTCTAACCTTGTATAAAATCTCTATTCTTCTGACATTGGTGCCATTAATCTAAATCAGTTTGGGGCTTAATAAGTGATGGCCATTTTCTCTCCTTGGGGGTGAGATCAAGGCATATGAGTGTTGAGACAGTCTCACCCTACACACCTAGTTCTTTAACAATCATGTGGAAGCGACGTCAGTCTTCCTGGCTAGGAAGTTCTGTCCACTTTGTCTCCACTCAGGTTTGGGCAGGCACTCCATCACCGCCCTCTAGATTTGGCATCACTGTGAATGTGCTCACTCGTTACATCCTAAATTCAAATATACTTCTTTCTGATCTCAACTTCTACCCAACTCACTTTACCTTTCTTATTATACTAGTCTTGCTGTGTTTTGATTTTGGTTTTGGTTTTCCTTTGATGGCCTTTTAAAAGTCTGTTTCTAACTTCCTCCCCAACAGCCCTCTTTCGACTCCACTTTCATCCCTGTGAACAGCCTCTGTCTCAGCACTTCGGTCATTAAATTCTTCTTAACATATTTACTGTTATGCTGTACTCTTGTCTTTCTCCATCCTGTTCACATCTAAAGCCACAATCGATAGCTCTTCCAGTGGCTTCTAAAGGTCTCAGAACAGACAGCAGACTATTAGCACACTGGCCTTGTGCTTCATTCTGCTTTTACCTAAAATGTTTTTATCATCACCCTTTTCTCTGGCCAACTCTCTTTGCCTTTCAGGTCTCTCAAGCTTTCTATGGAGATGAATCCTTAAATTCCTAATTAGCTATGGGCCAATTCTACATACTTTTATAACATATGATTTATGTCAACATATTGTTATTATTTTCTGTTGTGACTTCATGCATTTAAGTGATTTCTTGAAAATATACATGAAGTATTCAATTTAAGGGAATGAATAGTGTTAGTAACTTGAAAAGCCTTATAATTGAAAGTACATGTAATTACTCTGAGACCTGTTCAGCAGAATAAAATGTGATAAACAGGAATATTAAAAGGAGAGAAACATAGAGGAACAGATAAGCTCACAATTTTCAGCATAGTATTCAGGACAGGCCTAGCTGAGAAGCAAACAGTCGAAGAAAGATGAAGGGAGAGACAGCTGTAAGTGCACGAAGCAAAGGGGGCAGTCAAGACAAAGGTCCTAGGGAGAGAGCATTAGCAGCACATGTTCGGAAGGAGATCCATGTAGTTGGGGCAAAGAAAATGAAGAAGAATGCTAGCAGATCAATTCAAAGAAGCAATGGAAGTCAGATTGTACAGATCTTGCTAGCTTTTGTAATAATTTCATATTTAAGAAAACAATGGGTTGTAGAGGGTCAAAGCGTAAGGATAATTGAACATATTCTGCCTCCTACATTGGGAACTGGAGAGCATAGGTTTGGTGGAAGCAAACCAACTCCTGAGGGTAGTAAAGGAGCTGATGGTGAAGTTCAGTGGTGGGGCACTTGCCTGAGCATGTGTAAGGTCCTGAGTGCAGTAACAAGGTCCTCGAAAAACAAAAATAAAAGCCTATTAAAGTGATAACTATAGATACCAGTAACTCAGACCAGAGTAGACGAGGCAGAGGTAGTGAAAAGTTGTCAAATCTGAGATGTATTTTTAAGTCAAAATACAACAGAATTTCCGAAGGATTAGATGGATACAGACGAGAAAAGACTAGGGGAAAACAAACAAACAGAAAACCTCTAGAATTTTGACTTACACTGATGGAGCTGACATCTGAGGGGAAACAGAGAACAGTGTTGAATAGTTTTGTAGATAATATTAGTATACACTAAATACCACATGTTTATTAAAGGTCTAGTCAAGTAGTAAGATATGGGCCTGGTGTCCATAAATGACAACTGGGTTGAAAGATATAAATTTGGGAATTGAATGATATATAATAGTATCAAAATCACTGAAGCTGGATGAGATGAGAAATAAAATGAGTATTGATAGAATGGAGAAACAGTCAAGGGCAAAGCCCTGGGTAGTCTAACATTAGGAAATCAAAGAAAAGAGCAGGGACCAGTGAAGGAGAATGAAGAGAAGCAATAATAAAATAGAATAATCAAGAAGTTCAAGTGAGTAGGAAGATGAAGACTACAACCAACCATAGGGTTTAGAAAGTATCGAAAGCATCTGTGACTTGGTAAGAGCATGTCAACACTATGATGGAGGGAGAAACATAAAAAGGCAAGCTCAGGAAGAAATGAGAAGACGTGAATTCAATTCAGTATATACAGATAAGTCTTTGGAGGAATTTCTTTCAAAGGGCAGCAAAGAAGTGATTGGAATAACTGGCGAGGGCTTTTTGTTTGTTTTTAGGTAGAAAGATGTTTGTGTGCTTATGGAAAGGCCCAGAAGAGGACATGTAGGAACAATCATCTACACATTTATGAATCTATAAGGAATTAAGACAGGAATAGACTTAGTTTGGTAGTATTCCAATGTTATAAAATAAAATACTGTGTTTTGTACACAGGAAGGAGAAAGAATGATCTGGATGGAATAATCAAATGAAAGATAATCAATCTACTACCAGAGGCAGTCCACAATGACCCAGGGGAAAAACAAGAAGCTCCCAGTTTGCAAACTACAAAGGAAACAGTAGATTCGAAGGAGGGATGGTTTCCATTAATCCAAGAAGGTAAATGCTGTTTTTTAAAACAAAACATCTCCCAGAGACTTGTGTTTAACACCTGGTCTTAAAGGTCTATAACCTTCCCAAACAGCTGGTAGTGCTGATTGGGAAGGTTATGGAACCTTTAAGAGATAGTGTTGCTAGTATGTCACTGGAGGCTAGCTGGGAGGTTTTGAAACATGGCCCTACTCCAGTTTCCTTTCTGTTTCCGCCTTGCCAGCGCAAACACAAAGGACAGGTGTCATGTGCTGCCGCCATGCTTTCCTCACTGAGATGGGCTGTACCAGTTCTGGAGATATGAACTAAAACAAGCACCTTCTCCCCTAGGTTTCTTTGTCTGGTTATTTCCTCACAGCCACAGAGATGTCAGACAATGGAGTTCTGCTCATCATGGATCATGAATTCCTGAGGGCACAGAAATATTTTCATAGTCGCCGGTGGCAGGGACATGATTCGGGGTAGAAGAGGCTATAGGCTATAATGTTGAGTCTTAAGGGACTGGATGCCAAGAGATGAGGATGATGTGAGAGTCTGAGGCTTCTCGCTGCGAGGAACAGAAATCAAGCTGAAGAGCATAGTACGATTGACCCAGTGGACTCAAGACATGCAGCGGCAGTGAGGTTGGGAGTTGAGACCAAGTTATTCAGGGCATGTGTGGGTCTCTCTACTGGGGAGAAGACACTTCTGGAGCTTCCTTGTGGCCTTACTAATGGAACTGACAGCGCTGAGGCTAGCTTTTAGGAAATTCATGTGACCCTTACACATGTGGACTTCTGATTAAAAAGCCTAAAGTTAAAGCTTTCCCTGCTGGGAAGAAGAGTAAGCTAATTATTCATAACAAATTTGGGGATTACTTACCTCTGTGTTGCAAGAGCGATATCGTTTCCTTTCCCCAAGGCAATATTTTCCACCTCCTGAAGGTCTGGAAAACAACATTGGTTTAACATGTGATTATAATGCATCTATCACACAAAGACTACATATATTGTTTGATGAAAACATCAAAAGTGACTTTAAGAAGATATCAAATGTGGCATTTTGTCAATTATTAAACTAATGATAATTGTTAACAATGAGTATGGTTATTCAACATGAAATTATGGCAGCATATATAAATAATTTATAAGACTTAAGAGTTATTATCTATATTTTCAGGAAAACATAATTAAATTAGTATATTTAATTATCATAGTATAGTGCTCCATTCAATACAATGACTTGAAAAAACTTATCTATAATGAAAAGCCACTTAAATTATATTCAACACAAACTATAATCTTTTCTTTCAGGTAGAAAACAATGAGATAACATTGGGAATGGATCCAGTTCAGAGTAAATAATACAAAAAAAATGCATTTTCCTTTCAATTCAACACAAAGTTAAAAACATCAAATTAAAAAAGAAGATGGCAAAAGATAGCTTTGCATTATATTACTTCCAAATTAATGAAAAAGACTATATCAAATATTTGCTTTCATAAATTAATCTTTAAAGTATTTAGAATTAAGGAAAAACATATGCCATCATTTGGACATGCTATTATCGAGTGAAAAACATCTTCTTTGAAGAGGTTCAGGTCATTCCTTTACATATCTGAGTCTGTTAATATATCATAAGGCTTCATATTTTGGGATAATAGTTTTTAGCAGCCTATGTTGAATTTAGGCTAATTATCCTTGTATTTGCTTAAAAAGGAATCAAATCCACTGGTACCAGTGGATTTGGAATATGTTTTGAAGACCAGTGAATTGATCAGTTTGAACCAACTTGGAAGAAAGAGGTTGTGAGGCCAAAACAAGGTTGTGGGGATGGTGGCAGTCATGAATCGTTTATGAATTATAATAGGAATGTCTGCTAGGAGGGCAGTAACTGCTAGAAAGTGGGAAGATGGAATCTAGAACGATTATAAAGAAAATATTTTTAGATTAAAAAGAACAGAAATGAGGCACTTGAAGAAAGTTAAGATTCCTGGGTTAAAATGAGAATAAATCAAGAACTAAACTAGACTATCCTTTATCCTTTATTGGGGTGGGTGGGTGGGTGGGGGCAGTTCCCACCTTTTCCAGGGTACCTATGAGGAGGAGAAAGGAATAAGGAACTTGTAGATAGAAGAATACTCCTAGCCGATGAGAGGAAAGAGAGAAACACAGGATAGCTTCAGGAGGACCTGGGTCAATACCCAACGGCTCCTTCTGTCTCTTCTAAAGGGCTTTTTAAAGGAATGCCAAGGGGTGGGGCAAAAGACCTCTCCCTAACACAACCAAACACCTGGTAACCACGCACATGGTCAATCCATCCCCTTATGCAGTCCTGCTGGGTAAAGCAAGCTCAGATCTCACTAGGAAACCTCTGTGGGCTCCCACAGGTGGGGTAAGTAGAGATGTTATAATATCATTCTTCACCAAAGGAGTAGTTCTAGACACAATGGGTAGGTAGCAGGCTGCAGCCAAGGAGCAGGTGAGTCTTCAGCAGAGGAGGAAAAGTGAACTAAAGAAACAGTCTACATGTACATTGGTAGAATGGAGAAAAACAGAGCTGGCAAAGAATACTGGTGGGCTGGCCTTGCCCCGTGTAGACTATGGCTGGAGAGTGGTAGCAGATGAGCAGGCTGGCCTGCATGGACCAGTCCTGGGAGATGACAGGAGCATAGGAATGGAAGCCACTTTAACACATGGGCAATATTGTCTTCATTGTGATTTGTGATGTGAATCACGGCATATCAACCCCTGAAGTGCTCTCATTGGTCCTTCTAATAGTAATGTGGCAGTAATAATTTTATGTGACATGTGAAAAGCCCTTCTTTTTCTGGGAGTAATGGTAATGTAGCAGAAACCAGGTCTGGATTCATCCATAATTCAGCAGTCTTCAGAGGAGGAAATCTGATTATTACTAGCTTATATAGACAGACAATGTGCTTCTATTTTAAAGGTTTGAGATTCTCTCTCTCTCTCTCTCTCTCTCTCTCTCTCTCTCTCTCTCTCTCTCTCTCTTAATTTTTACTTACACAATAAGAAGAAAAGAAGAAAAAGAAAGTCTGACTAACAAAGCTCCTTCACTTTCCTGGACCGCTTGCTTCTTCTGAAGACAAGCACTTGGCTTGCCAGAGAAACATTTTTACAGATAACATGTGAAACCACAGCTTTGAATCATTTCCAACTGTGTCTTTTTGTTGGCTCTGGCTTACTTTAGCTACTTACGCTGGACTGTCACAGTGTCTTAGGGATGAAGAGACGCCTCCCCCGCAGGTCCTGCTGCACTCGCCCCATAGCGACCAGGAGCCCCAGCCCCCATCTACGCTCTGCGGCCAAGTGCCAAAAGGAACACAGTCTCCCTGATAACACCACTGTAAGAAGGCACAGAAAACACAGAATTAGCTTTTATGCAGCTACAAGACAGAAGTCCATAAACTTTCATAAAAGTCAGGTAATGACCAATTTTAAGCATTAGCATTCTCAAAAGTAGAGAACGGGTTTTTAACTGTGTTTAGACAATGTAAGGGTGCATACAATTTTGCAAACTATTTCTAACTGGTCAGATTTATAGTCTCCAACATGTACCAGTTCTAAAAGCCCTGATTTTGGCAGTTTTCTTTGTTTCTCTTTGTCCAGACTTTTAGTGTTTCTCATTATAGAGTTAGCTATAGGCCTCAGAATCATTTTTAGATATTGTAGTAATTTCTTTTAAAAAATCTTTATATTCCACTATTATTAGACTTGTGGAATGATAATGCACTATGGAAAGTTCTCCAATAAGGAGACTTTATGATGGTAATTGCAAGTTCTTTAGAAAAAGAAAGAAAAACTGGTTGAGGCTACAACAGTAAAAGAATGCTTTGTGGCATTTCATCCAGGAGCAGCACAGACATAATAAATGTAATGCCAAGACACTAGGACTGGGCACAAAAACCTTACATACATTGACTAGCCCTGGGTAAGGCCCTGTATGAACACGTGTACTCGAATTCTGCTCAGTTTGACTCTGTGCAATAAACCATACATACTGCACCTAAGGAGAGAGCCAGGAATCCTTTATCAGAAAACAGACATCATATAATCAGTTCATAACTCTAGCATGATAAAACTTACTTGCAGTACATGGCAAAATAAAAGTGTTCTTTTAAACCAAGCATTTATAGGTTTTTGTTGGTGCATTTTTCTAACGCATCAAATATTAACAAATCAAACTAATCTATAAGAGTGGTATGTTTATATTGATAACAATATCAACAGTTATTAGAGTTAAATGTGTGTCAACGGGATCACACTATTAAGAAATTCAACCTTATAATAAGATTGGGACACTTAGAAATGAACCATTTCAGCCGGGCGGTGGTGGCGCACGCCTTTAATCCCAGCACTCGGGAGGCAGAGCCAGGCGGATCTCTGTGAGTTCGAGGCCAGCCTGGGCTACCAAG